TTGTATATACTAATAAACATGATTCTCTAATACGAATTCAAATTGCTCATAAACCGAATGTATTAAGGATAAATATAACAACCATAGCTATACTATGTGACATGAGTGTACTAACTGGAGTATACCAGTAATTACATATTGGCTGCCTTTAATGTTTGTATCGAGTTGCACAAATTCAGACAAATGGGATTAATCGTTTTCCATCAGCTCTGATTTTGATTCCTCATCAATCAACGTCACTCAAGCAGAGACTATCCTTAAGGGTAATATCATCCTGTTATATCTTTCCAACCATTTTATGTACATATTTTATTTTCCGATTGTGATGAAAGTTCTAGATTTAAAAAAAAAAAACTAATCTGTGTACTTTAGACTGACCACACGATAAAAATGAAAACATCAAAAAAGCTAGATTAATAATATGAAATATAAATTATAAATAATAGATCATTTTAAAGAGGATGAAATGTTGAACTATTCCCTCGGCTACAGTACGTATGCAGGTTCGATTTTTAGATTCTGCGATATTTTAATCCATATTTTCAATAAAACTCGACATCATTTGCTTTTCGAAGCTATTTTTTCTCTTTTAGGCTCGCTAACACGGCGTCGTATTAAGATACAATTTGAAATAATATCCCATTACAGAGAAGATGGAACGCTGGACAATTCCCTTGCCAGCAGGTCCGATTTTTAGCTTTTGAGATATTTTAATGCATTTGCGAATACACTTCAATTAGTCGACTCCAGCCGAATTTACCTGAGCGTTACACATCGGAGATCTGACGGCTCAATCTAATTCACTCTCCACAAAAAAATGCAAAACTCACTTAAAGACGTTTTCACTTCAATAAAGTGGGAGAAGAATCTTAAAACAGTCATATTTTTTATCATCTGAAATCAATTTCTGAAATTAAATGAACTACATCATTACATATATCACACTTAAAAAAAAATCTTGGATTGAATTTTATTAATTATTTATTTACATAAAAACAATCTATAAAGATGTGTAAACCATAGAAACTTAATTTGATCCATATAGCTCGTAAATAATATTATTAATAACAGAAAGCCAATTTTTAAACCACACTTGGTTCTATACCATCGGATATCATCATTGAAGTCCAAACTTATGGAGTTAGCTCTTGCATGATTTGCATCATCATGCTATCACGAGTGTTAAAGCGATATTGTCACAATTTTTGAGACGCGGACAAAATTTTTACCATATCTATTTTTAGCCAAATTACTGAAGTGATTAAAGTTGAAGTGAAGGCAGTTGACCGAACTTCAATAAAACAAATCTATTCGAAATAAAACTGATTCTTGAAGCAATATCCTTATTCTTCATTTATTTCATATAAAAACGAAATAAGAAATGAAGAAATACTGCTTAATTAGACGCAGTACTTCTGAGAAGACATTAGCTCCGGTAAAACAAAAAAATACTGATTTTGTTAAAAACTAAGGAGGTCGTTAGTACAGATTTCTGTAAATCATTAAATTGAATTGGTCAAAAAATGTTATTTTCTTAATTGATGTTTATATAACCTTTATTGATGAAGTTGTGTGTTTTATTTTGAGTTCTCCGCAATATAGGAGTTAAAATATAAGTCTTCCCGTTTGACCGTCGATGTCTCGGTCTCGACGAGAACAGTTAAGCGGGAGCCTGCTGTATATATTGGTAAGTATAATCAAAATATTTTCAACCAGAGCGAACTAACAAGACTTACGAATGATTTACTCTTCAATATTTTAATTAATAATTTAACAACTCTAAGATGTGTCTGAACACCATTCCTATTTATTTCAATGGACAAATCCAAAAAAATATTTTTGTAAATTCATGAGGCTGTTAATTGAGGCTAATGATTTTCTCATTAGTAAAAGAGTTCTAATCCGAAAAGTTTGACTATAAACTACGAATTTTGTGAATGGAAATCAATCAAGATCTTGAGACATCTTAACTTTGGCTATTATCAAACTTCCTTTTCGTTTGTCAGTTAAGACAAAAAAAGTATCAATTAATAATGATTATCGATTTATTAGTGAACACTAAGTTTGTTGACAACTTCTTCTGTTCTTGTCCATAATAATTAATAGCGTGTCAAATTAACGATTCTATCATAGTTGAATAGTCAATTTAGGAAACTTTTAATGTATTACTTCTAAACATGATGATAACAATGATGATTAGTTCAAACAAACCAAGACTGTCGAATCAATAAAATCTTCGATAATGTTATGGGTGGACAGAATCGCATTTGCAAGCTTATTACTTCCTATTTGTTGAACGAAAAATTTAAATTAATAAAATAATGGCCTATTTTTTTATTAATGCCCATGCATTCGAAATTTCCCAATGGAGCCAAAACATAGACCACCTTAATTTATCGAAAATTGATTTTGAAACAGAACAGCTGTTCTATTTCATACTAAATATGAAAGCGATTATAACAAGAAATATAAAAGAGTTTTCATGAATTTCCTGTTATAAAGGATATATAGATGTGATATCTGAAGTCGAGGAAAAGTTTTTAAAATGATTACATTCGATCTAATATTCCTTATTAAGCACATGTTTATAATCTTTATTTCACCGTTACTAAATGAATCCCGACATGCCTATGAATCGCAATATAATAAGATATATGTGAATAGAGTAGACTGGGTACGGTTGTTAAAATTTTCATTTATTCGTCCTCAATTTTGTTGTTATACCATTTAAATAGAAGAAAGGTGTTTTCTATAGTAAAGTATACACTTGACTACGTATAAATACTAAAATACTAAAGTACGGTTAAAAAAAAATTGGTTTTTGAATAAAAATTAAGGCAAAGTAGTTACTAATATTTGTCAATATTAGTTATTATATGTAAATAATTCGTATAACCAATATAATTTTGCATTTAACATCTGTAATTTTTCATTTGGGCTAAGTTAGGTTCTCCTATCTAAAAAACTACAGTAATAACTCGATAGTAATAAGCTAATAAGTAACAGCAAGACTCTTGCGAGATTCTTGCGCAAGACCAAGACTGAGTTTGTAAGACCAAGACTCGTCTCGGTCTCGCATTTTGTAACACTTATCAGGATGGTGCTTGACAGTTACTGCGGCTTCTACTATCCGATTTATTAGCTCTTCTTGCGTGCCGACTGCCTTAGAATAAACCATAGAATCATACAGCCCCATACAAAATAATCCAATAGTAAACAATTTAGTATTAAACACCACGTTAAACTTTGTACAGTCAGTCTTAATGCAGTAAATAAATGATAAATATTTACCCTTTGATATCTGTTTAATAAATGAGTTTTGGATATATGTTAATACGAACATTTTTGTGTTAGTGAACACATACCTAAAATAGCGCCGTGCAATTAAGAAACACCCTTTATAACATTATAGAACAATTTAATCGCTTATAAATTCATAGAAATTTATGTAAGAATCAACTTTCGGTCCTCCTCAAGTATTCAGTGGGAATCTAAAAGAAAAAAACAAAATTTACTTGTGTCTCAACCTTACCCAGTATATTTCACTATCGTACCCAATGCACTCCTTTGCAAAAATAAAAATAGTCGCCACGACAAAATAAATTTATCTACGTACAAAGTAACTGATAATTAACAACTAATATTTAACTTATAACGAGGAAAAATATTCATTACTCTATCTGAACATTTACAATAATAATTATTCAAAGAAACAGAATAAAAATAATTACTTTTGTGTGTTAAAAAGTAATGAAGGTTTCTACTGACGTCAATGTCGCTCGATGCCTCAGCAATGCTGTTATTTACGTTCTTCTTAATAAACCTATCAGCAATTACTTATAGTTTCAATACGACGATTGGTACAACCGTAATCACTCTCTCCTATATCTGTATATTCCATTTAGAAAAATATACATTCATAAAATTTCATATGATTTATATAAATGTAGGACCCATATTCTTATTAAAATCGGCTCCAAATATTTCGGTGAGGCCTTCGAAATCTTTGTCTTGAAGCTCTTTGCTTTTATTAGTGTTATCCAAATGTGAGACCGAGACGAGTCTTAGTCTTGCAAACTCAGTCTTGGTCATGATCTTGGTCTTGCGCCAGTGTCTCGCAACAGTCTTGCAGTTACTTATTAGCTTATTACTGTAGAGATATTACTGTAATTTTTTAGATAGGAGAAACCTAACTAATCCCGAATGAAAAATTAGAGGAGTTAAATGCAAAATTATATTGTTTATATCAATTATTTACTCAGATTGTCAAGTATTAGTAAGTATTTTGCCTAAATATTTCTTTAAAAAATGGATTTTTTTTACTAGTCCTGGTCTTGGTCTTGCAACAGTGAGGCGGCACTTTGTAAGACCAAGACCGATTTTTGGCAAAACTAGTTTTTATATACGTAGTGAATTCCCGAAGACGGAAAAAAAAAATTAACGAAGTAAATAAAATTGTGAGTATAAATAAAAGAAAATACATTTTATGGTAATAGAATTCCATACAAAACAAATAAAAATCGAAACAGCATTCTTATATTTTAGATGCTTATTTGAATCAGGATTAAATTTTATTTGAAGTCAACCTTGAAAATTTAATTAAACCAGTAAGATATATACAAAAAATATCAATAGAAGAAATGTTGGTATAATAATAAGGAGAATACAATATTTATATAAAATGGGCAAGAAAAGATATATTTTGTGTTTTATATTAGAATTTCCAAAGAGGTAGGAAAAGTCATGTAAATATTTTCTTTATCTTTTGCAATTTGTAATCGATCATGAACGATTTTTTTATTTAAATAGGAAACGTTTTGTAATAAATGTTCTACGATCATACAATGTTTATTACAAATTAACGGAAGTATTCATAGAAGAAAACTGGTCAAACCTTTAAGGTATTTAAAACATTTAATCCTTAGAGAATCTTACATCCAGATGTTTGATAAATATATTTAAACTGCACCTTGGTGTCGCAGTCTTTCATGCGGACACGAATGGAAGCGCGCCACGGGGCATTGGAAGCGGTTCCGATTACATCCTACGTCAATACCCTGCGTCAGGAAACTTTTAGTGGGTCTTATCACACGCAATGTTTTCATTATTGAATATCATCTAATTTCTATAGATTATGATATTTTAAAGAAATAATTAACCAGGAAATTTCATCCGATATTCATGGGGCTCATTACTGTGGGTTGTGAAATCAAATTCCTTCACCATACGCATCTGTATCGAATTTTAATATCCAAGAATAGCCAAGAATTGAAAGTTTACCAAAACCAGAAGAATTTTTATACAAATTAATAACACTTATGAAATTTTTATAAAAAAACAACAACTTATATGTAAAGAACCCGTATGTAATTGAAATTTCATATTTTAGGTAAGTTATACGTATGGTATAGGTCTGGAGTTGTGACGTATTGCTAAAATCGAGTTACCAGATATATCACTTTGTATCATTGATTCAACTTTTCCACTTTTTTCAAGCTATACTTGCATAAAATAATAGTATTTAACCAGAGGTATCCTCTGACCGCCTAATGGCGGACCAACCACCATTTTACAAATTATAAGAGTGAAAAATGTGTATGAAAAACAGAAATTATTAAAGAAGATAATGACTGAAAATTTACATCCTGAACCATTAGATAAGATACGGCGCAGTTTCCGGAAACCCGCACGACGGCAAAGCTCTGCGGGCATCTTACCATATGTATAACAAAATGAAGTAATACACGGTCACTAAAAACTTTTTTATATAATAGAGATATATCAGCTTGGGCTTCATTTTTTCATTAAAATTAACTGGTATTAAATGCTGAATTATTAAAACTTAATTATCTAAACACCACCATTAATTTTAATATTTGAAATAATTACCTCTGGATGAATATGATGGCTTATGGAACAGACTCCTTTTTATGAAATTATTAACATACTTCTAAAACTTTTTGAGTAGCTTCATCTCCTCGTAAGCAACAACTTTTTCATTTACAAAAATTCTCGGAATTGGGACGTTTTTAATCTGTAGATCGGCAAACTTTGTCCATTAAATTACCCAATAAAAACTCATGAATACCAATTAATTGTTTTCCACTTGAATCGTAGGATAATATTATCACAAAATCGAGAAAAAAAAAAGTGGCCAACAAAAATATAGGGCCGTTTGGGATAACCTCATGTCCAAAATAAGATATATCGGCCAATCGGTCCAATATTTTTATAGGCCCTTTTTTTTTTGTGATAAAGTTTTATTATTAGACAAATGGAAAGTTTGTAGGTTACAATTAGATGAGGCCATTCGAAAAGTTTTAGGTGAATGTTAATAGTTTGATGAATATGGGTCTGAACCAGGGACTATGAACTATGAAATGCTTTGAACTATGATTAAATACATCAGAAATATTTTGCTAAATTAAAAAACAAAAAATCCTGAAATAGGAGTAGCGCTTTGTATACACAATATACCTTTATACATCTTAAGATTTTACAAAAATGACTATGTAATATCTAAATTCATTGTTGCTAATAGAGCATGACGAGAAATTACTTAAGTGGTAATAACTGTGGTTAGTACTTATACTTTTATATTATTGAATGAAAACAAAAAAAAATTCCATGGAAACCGAAGGAAAACTTATGAAATTTGTTTTCAAATTTAAAATACAAAAATTATGAAATCATATTTTATAATAATCTTTGATTTATATACTTTTTTTTTACGTTTGAGTTCTATTGCGAAACAGTACGTTATCAACGAAATTTCGAAGTGGGAGTGAATCATGAGCTTTTTCTTCTGTTTGAAGATCAACTCTCCGCTCAAGCAATTGATTTTCAATATGTTTACCTCTTGGTTTTGCTTAGTCGACTTTGAACAGTTGGTAAATGAATGAATGCTTACTCTTACTTGAACGCCGTTGTGCATAGAGGGGTCAGTGGTAATTATATTTAAAAAAAACTAGAAAAAACGGATTAAGAACAAATGACATCTGACATAAAATATGAGATAGCCATAATTATATAAAATTTATAAAAATATAAAATAGCCATCATTATATAAAATAGCCAAGAAACAAATAAGATCCTTGAACTTGAAATTAGAAACTAAACATAAGGAAAAGGATGGATAGTTAAAAAACTATTTTATTTTATACCCAACTAAGCAAGCTTTACCAAGGCTAGAGCGAACAAGAAACTAAAGGATATAGACAATCATGGAAATTAAATGATACTTAGATAAAAATTATAAATAGAAAGTATATAAAAGTATAATGAAAATAAAATATATAAACATATAAAATATGTTTTATATATTTTAAAAGACCGACTAACACAAACTTCAAAATTTCAACAAAAGAAAATATTACGACTTATAACTAAAGCACCTTGGCACTTGACATACAAAACCGTGACATATTGACGTCCTCCTGCCTACAGTTGGCCAACACATAAGAACTACAACCGATTTCACAATAATTTTCACGGATATACTAACGTACTAAGTAGAGATATGGCTTCAGATGACATAAATACGAGGTGGAGACTAAAAAAGCGCTGGATGAGAGACCTCATTCCTTGACAAATCATTGTAATTAATTCAAGCCAGAGAATAGGTACTGCTGGGTGCTATCCTTCCCCATGCCTTACATGTCAATTTCGTTACTAACATTCGTCGAAAGGTGCAAATTGATATTGAAAGGTAAAAAATATATATATTTTAATGTTCTTAATACCTTTATACTCTTTCTATTCACACTGCTTATAATTTTTGTCTAAATATTATGTAACTCACACAATTTTCTATATCGTTTCCATCTTGTTTGTTGTTGTTGTAGCCCTCGTGGTGACTTTCATAGTTGGGTCGAAACGTTGGCTTAAAATAAAATAGCTTTTCACTACATTAAGTTTATTTATGCGAGCCACCTCATTTGTGAAAACAAAGAAATAATATTACATGCGCAATCGACTCAATTTCACGCTATGTTAAATGTATGTGATATACAAAAGAATCTTACGGTACGTTTTCTGAAGTATAGCATAACTTCATTCCTATCGGAGTTGAAACATAAAATTTAATAAAACAAAACGTCGGTTATACATTATTTGAACAGTCGGGTTACTTATGAGTGTCAGACAGGAAGGTCGTTATACACGTTTTAAGCACAAACTCAACCGGCAATCACGAACAATGTTAATTAAGCTCACTTCCGGCAGGGGTGACAAGGCTACGGAAGTTTGGATGTGAGATGCCATTAAGAAAAAACTTTTTAAAAACTGTGGCCTTCATTGCAGAAGATCAATTGCTCTTTTAACGTACTCTTGACTCTGATAGCACCATCATATCATTTGAGAATGCGGTTGTTACTTGAACGATGATTTATTTATACAACCATCACTATATTTATTCGCTTACGAAATAAATTGAATATGAATTGTATCATTACAACAATTATTTATTAATTTTGGGTTAATAGGATATAATTACGTATAGCAATGGTTAACTTAAAAATATATTCAGTAATAATAAATAAAATAATTATTGTAATAAATAAAGCTATAGAAGGTCGATGTTCTGTAAAATTTGTTACTTACCAAGAGAACACGTTTGACATGATTTTTAATAATTTATCTTTCCGCCAATGTCACATGGAAAAATTTAAAAGGAAGATGATCAAATATGAAAGTCGAAGATCCGTCCCGCATGTAACTAACTCCCCGGCGCCACAGGTCAGCATGACGCTTGCTCCTGAGTTATTTTTCTCCACCTCTCTCTGTCCTGTGCTACTCCTAACTTCCTCGCATCTCTCTCCACTTTATCCTTCCATCTGCTTCTCGGTCTTCCTCTTTTCCACTTCCCCCTGAAGTGCGCTTCCAATATTTTTCTCTGCACCCATTCTATCAAACTTAAAATTCTTTATTCTGATTACACTGCAGGATCTTCTACTATACGGGTAAATATTGAAAGGTGAAAATTCGATAATGTTTAATTTGTAGTACTAGTCCTTTACCTGTTTACCAAGGAATAAAATTTTGTTCGACTCACCGCTCAAACACAATAGAGACTTTTTCTTCATAATTATAAGTAATATCATAACACCTAAAGTAATAAAAGGGAATAATTTTTAACTTATTGATTTTATTTATTTCGACATATGGCAGACTGGCAGACGCCCATCAGATAGACAGACATTTAACCGACTAACCAATCAACTTAAAAGAGAAATCCAAAAATGTAACAGGACTAACTATGACGCATAAGTGGTATTTCGACTGACGGTGGGAGCTTGTGGAAGCATACCAAAAAGTTGTTAAAGCGCCGAGAGCTGTCAGCACCTCTCCGAAAAGAAGATGGATCCTGGACCGTGTCGAATAAGGAAAAATCTGAACTCTTCGCTCACCACCTTTCTTCTGTATATAAACCGTTTACATACTTCACTGACACAGAAAATGAGACTATAGTACTTAACACATTAGATATCCCACTTCAGCTGACACTTCTTTTATTCCATCTCAGGTTGCACTTCAAATAAAACAATTACCGAAAAGAAAAGCTCATGGTTATGACTTAATAATAGCCGAAGCACTCCAACAAATGCCCAAGAAAGGTCTAGTATTTCTGACATCAATTTACAGCTGTATACTAAGGACTTCAAAATTCCGTTTACAATGAAAATGTTCACTCATTTAGATGGTTCGCAAACCCGATAAAAACATATACAGTCCTTCATCCTACAGACCCATTAGCCTCGTTTCTATATGCTCTAAAGTTTTTGAAAAATTGATATACAAAAGACTTGTCGACATATTGACTGATTAACAGGTAATACCTGACCACCAATTCGGCTTTCGCACATTCCATGCGACGACACATCAATTGCACAGAGTTACAGATTACATTGCTGGAGCTTGAGAACAAAAAAAATATGCAACTAGAGTATTTTTGGATGTTGCTTAGGCGTTTGATAGAGTCTGGCATCAGGGTCTTCTCTTTAAACTTAAGACTATACTGACACGTACTGTCTTATCCTTCAATCATTCCTCTTCGACAGATTTTTTTCAGTTCGGCAGGACTCGGAAATGTCTTCAGTTCGTCCATTCTTGGCAGGAGTTCCCCAAGGTTCAATAATAGCCCCTCTACTTTACGTTATATAAACTTACGATATGCCTATTAACGATGAGATCTTGACAGTTACTTATGCAGACGATACAACAATTATCACAAAACATCAAGATCCTACACAGGCTTCACTAACTCTACAACATCACTAACTTAAATTACAATATTGGTTCACACTATGAAAAATTCGACTTGACTATGACAAATCCAAACATACAATATTTACTCTTCGAAGAAACACCTGCCCTCCAGTTTATTATACTGACAACAATCAAATTCCTCAAACGGACTCGGTACTTTACCTTGGTACTCACCTTCGATAGAAGGATGACATGGGGTCCGCATGTTAAAATGAAACGTAAGACACTTAACAAACGACTTAAACTACTTTACTCTCTTTTTTCTAAATTATCAAAACAGAAACTGAATACATATACATACCCATATGGACGTATTCATCACAAATAAATGGCATCACTAAAAAGACCCACCTACAAAAACTTTAAACGTTAGAATCAAAATTATTGCGACTCATAACAAAAGCACCTTGATACGTGACTGACAAAACTCTACATACTGACCTCCACCTTCCAACAGTTGACCAACATATAACGACCCTTTATCAACGATTTTACACTAATTTAAACGGACATAATAACAGACTAATAAGAGACATGGCCACAGCTGACGTACCTCAGAACATGAGGAGGAGACTAAAACGGTTCTAAACAACATAAGTAATTGGAACAAGTTAGGGAAGAGGTACTGCTAAGTACTTTCCTTCCATGCCTGTCATGTCATTATTTCATGTATCACTATCACATTTGCTGATTGTCAATAATAAGTTGACAGACGCAAATACATTTTTATAGACAAAAAAAAATTATTTCGACAAAATATTTTATAGCATATTATAAAAGAAAAATATATTTTGTCATACCTAGTTAAAAGATTAATACCTGTAATACGGATGTGTGAAATCGCTGAGATCTCCTGAAGTCCTGCCTTTCCTTCCACATATGGGGAGAAAGGCTTGGCTCAGAGTTCTCTTAAGTGAATAAACTTTTTAAATATTGTATAAATGTATGTTTGTATTTAAGTGGTTATTTTGATTAGTTTAGTTTCTTTTCTCTTTAAATTTACATTTAGTATTATTATTTTGCTGTTGTTTGAAGACGTGAATGAGCTACTCTATCATTATTACTAGTGTTCTTGAATGAGACACAATGTAATAATTACCAATAAAGAATTTATAAGTGCAAATTTTTATGTTTAGAACAAATAACAATAAATATATGAATAATAGCTAAATAAGTAAACAAGCAAGATTAAGAAAATTAAAGGAAGTAAAAAGAAGATAAATCATCTTGAACACTTTCAAATCTGTGCCCAATATTCCATTAAATACAACATTATTCACCATAGATAGACTTGCCTTATTTAAATTTTATATATGTTTATATTTATATCAGATATTTATCATTTTAGTTTAGTATCCATATTATTTAACGCAATCACTGTTGCTATTCTTTTCATTTCTGTTATCCTCATAGCTTGTTCTCTTAGCCCAGAATTCTAAACGTCGGCATATATTAGACATAACAATAAACACAATAACAGCACCTTAGGACATCACTTCATCTTGGGTGCAGACCTAAATGCCAAACATCAACAATGGGGTTCCAGAACCACGAATACTCGTGGCCGAACCCTGCTGTCTGCACTCGATTCCCAACATTTTCACCTCCTTTCCCCCAACTCTCCTACCTACTGGCCTACAGATCCCGACCGTAATCCTGATCTTCTTGATTTCTTTATCCACAGCGGCTTAAGTCCCCTCAATTGTTCCATTACACGTCTAAATGAACTTTCCTCTGACCATAGTCCTCTAATCCTTAATGTTTCACTTGAACCCGTTCCCAAACCTTCTCCACCGTCATTTATTAGGGACCCTGTTAACTGGGACCTTTACCGCCAAATCATCTCCGATAAAATTGATCTTAACATATCCCTCAAAACTCCCGATGACCTTGATAGTGCCGTAAATTCCTTTACTACCACAATCCAACAAGCCGCCTGGACTGCTTCCTTCCCAAAAGACTCCTCCAGAATTCCTAAAAACACCATTCTACCCCAACACCTCCTTGACCTAATCCAAACCAAACGCCGCGCCAGATTATTGTGGCAACGTACCCGACATCCTACCGACCGCTGCTCCTATAATTATTACTGCAAACAATTAAAACTGGAATTAGCCACCTTCAGATCACATTCCTTCAACTCCTACCTATCCTCCCTTTCTTCTCGTGACAATTCCCTTTGGAAAACCACTACCAAAATCTTAAATCCTCACCGCATTTCCCATCCCCTCCGACGAGATGATGGCTCCTGGGCAGCATCTGACGAAGATAAGGCTGAGGAGTTCGCCATTCACCTATCCAATACATTTATTTCACATCCGGAATCCCATCCTGCCCACACCGTAACAGTAGAAGAACTCCTTACATCACCAATCCCACTTTCCTTGCCCCCAAAAGCTATTCATCCTTCCGAAGTGAAATTTCAATTAAAAAAACTAATCCCCCGTAAAGCTCCTGGACATGATCTCCTTACCCCTCAAATCCTTCGACAACTTCCATCCAAAGCAGTCATATTCCTTACATATATCTACAATTGTATCCTACGCACCACCCACTTTCCTCTGCTATGGAAACACTCCACTATTATCCTTTTCCCAAAACCAGGCAAACCTCCCAATATCTCAACATCCTATAGACCAATTAGCCTACTCCCAATCCTTTCAAAAATTTTTGAAAAGATCCTTTTGAAACGAATCCTACCCATTATAGAATCCCAAAATATTCCTTCCCATCAGTTTGGTTTTCGCTCCCAACATTCTACTGTTCAACAAGGACTCCGAGTTGTTGATCATATTTCCTCAGCCCTAGAAAACAAGGAATACTGTTCGGGTGTATTTCTGGACATTGCACAGGCATTTGACCGGGTATGGCACTCCGGACTGCTCTTCAAGCTTAAAATCCATTTACCTCAGTCCTTGTACCTAGTCCTCCGATCCTACCTCTCTGACCGCTCCTTCCGAGTTCGCTGTGGAACAGAATTTTCCAATATCTACTCCGTTAAAGCCGGTGTTCCCCAAGGCAGCGTCTTGGGTCCCGTGCTTTACATCCTCTTTACTGCTGACATCCCTGTTCATCCCGATACTTTTCTTGCAACATTCGCTGACGACACCGCAATCTTATCATCCAACTCTGATCCCAACATAGCATCCTTAAATCTCCAAAACCACCTCACCTTGATTGAGCACTGGTGTAATAACTGGCGCATTAAAGTTAATGAATCTAAATGCCAACATATTACCTTTACACTCCGACGCAGTTCCTGTCCACCAGTACACTTTAATTCCATCCAGCTTCCTTACTCAGACACAGTCCGGTATCTTGGCTTTCATTTAGACCGAAGACTAACGTGGAACCCACATACTAGACTCAAAAGACAAGAACTCAACCGACGATACGGCCAGCTATACAGACTACTAAACAGAAAATCCAAACTTTCTATTGAAAACAAATTACTTATCTCCAAGACAATACTGAAACCTATATGGACATACGGACTTGAACTGTGGGGGACAGCAAAAGCTTCTAACATCAAACGTATTCAATCCTCTCAATCTAAAGTCCTTGTAACAATAGTTGATGCTCCGTTCTATGTAAATAACAAAATCCTACACCAAGACCTTAATATCCCATTTGTCCTAGACCTTATTCCAGAAAAATTCTCCAAATTTCACCAGAACCTTACCTATCATCCAATTCCCCTGCACGATCTCTATCCAGCACCACCCATCCTTACAATCCTCCTCGAAGGTTGAAGCGGCAGTGGCCCAGAGACCTTTTGTAAATAAGCATCTATTGGAGTTTTGGCAATGGCCAGATCCTCCACTCAAGCCCGAGTGTGTATGATTAGGTTAGTTCTTTTGTTTATATACATTTATTTTATTTTATTGTATTTATTTTTATTTTATTTTATTGTATTTATTATTATTAAGTTTCTGTATTATTTATTTTTTTTTATTGTAAATAGAGTGTGAGTGTGCTTTCTCTGATCACTATTATAAATGTCCTTGATGTGACAGAATGTAATATTTCTAAATAAACAAATACAAAAAAAAAAAAAAAAAACAATAAACACAATAACAGCACCATAAGTTTGTTCCCATTTATAGTGATAAATTGTTGTTTATTTTGGTTATATACTAGTATTTGGACTGGAAAAAAAAGTTTTTTTACTCTTCATAATAAAGATAATTATAAGAATGCATGTATAATTAAATATTAATTTTTATTTATAATATTTCAATTTGTTTACTGTTTGTAGACTATAGTGGTCGATGATGATGGAGACAAGAATGATATTCTTAGACAAAAAAGAGTTGTCGAGAAGCAGTATATCTACGACTTCGCGTTTGGCGAAGATTCAACTCAGGTATGTTGTAGGTTTCTATTAACTAATAAATTGATTTATTTTTCAACCTCTTAAGCAACAAGAATTTTTGAATAAACATGTTTCTCGAATTGATTATTTGAAAATTAGGACATCAGGTTTTATTTTCCAATCAATTAACTGTTAACGGAATTTCACAAAAGCATCTAAATCCAGACACATAAATAGATTAAATAAAAAAAGGATCGATTGAAAAGTTCTCTCCGTTGAAGAATTACGTGTAATCCGTTAGCTAGCGTGAGGCCTTAGGAAATAATAGTTCATAAAATCGTTTTTCATGTCATTCACATAGTCAACGAGTGTTATTTTCCTTCGATACGTTAGAAAATCAAAATGAAACGAAATGGACAATCAACATAACAACACCTGATGTAAAGCCAAATAATGATAGTTTTATCTAGATATTCACTAAAAAAGTAACAAAAAAGGAAGCAAATGCTTTATAAATGAAATTCTTAATATACCTAATGAATCTTCGTGACTCATTTTCTACTCTAAATGGGTGATGATTATGAATAACAATAAAAGAGTGAATGTGGCTTGGATTTTAATTATCTTTCCAACTTCACTTTTTTACTTTAGTTATCAATATTTGTTTACTAACATTATATAGGACATAAAAAAATTAATGAATGGTAAAATAAAAAAAAATGTAAACCTAAATGTAAGTAGTTTTATTAAAAAAATCTAAAATCATTAAACTAACATTGTAGTAGATATTAAGTTATAATATTCGAGATTAAAAAAAAAATAAAATAAACTTTTTATTTACAATGGCGTCCTTCAAACCCATTAGTTCCTTATTGTGACAAAAATCAGAAGATATTGTGAGGGTTAAGTAAATCTATAAATCTTATGAATTCATGAACAATTGTGAGCATGAAGATGAAGAATTGTTTGATGTTTTAAAATGAAAATATGTGAGGATAATTCATGCATGAAAACCATCAAGATATTTTTTCAAGTCCAACGGTGTTATCTGAATCCCACGTCAATTTTTATCATATTATTCTTACATTCTTTACTGCACTAAATATTGAAGTAATTATTAGTCGAAATTCTTATTTTAAAATATGGATCATTATTCTCACACGGAATTTAACCCTTAATCACCAATAACTAAATTGTAATAATTTTCCATGTATAGGAATTTTAAAAGCAATTAAGTAACTTACCATTCCTAATAAGTAACCTAATAAAATTACTAAACTTAATTATTTTTGGATCTTGGAAATCATCTAAATAGATGATAATAGATCATGAGATTCCGCAGTAGTAATCACAACATTAAATTTAATATCACCATAACCTGAAGGTTTTGAGCTTCATCATTGGGTGAAGAAACAACGCTGCTCTGTTCGCTGAGATAAGATCTTCAGTCAAAATGCCTGATTTAAGAGAACATTATAGCTTTATCTGAAAAAGGACATTCAATAGTTCAGTCATTCCGTCAATCCATCTATCAGAGACCGTCCTTCCCTATAGATATGAATTTTGTCTCCCGTTATGGATTTCTGCCATTCAATAAATTCCAGTTGGTTGATACTTCATTCACGCTTCTATTTTCTTTTTATAAGTGTTCAAAGTTAATTTACAATCAAAGTTAATTTATGAGACTAAATCAATTAATGCTTTCTACACTCGAGTTGTAATGACTTATGAATTATAGTTTATCAACTTAAATGTATATTATTGTTAGATTATATACCAGTCAACCTTAATAATCCAAGGTCTTATGCACAGAAGTGTCTAAGGCAGAAGTCTTCAAAACTTCGACACTCCAAAATTATTTTGACTATATCGTAAAGTTCTAAATTTAATTTATTACGAGGTGATTGGTCATATACGGAACGACATTGAAAAATATCGATTGTGTTTGCTGCTTAAATGTATACCTTTCGAGAATATAGAAGCACTAATTATTGTAAGATATTTTCGAAAAAAAAGTAAATTACTTTTAAAAATTTACATTCAAATTCATGAGAAACGTGCCCACCAGTTTATATAGGAGAGAACCAAATTCCTCAGACAAACACAGTACGTTACCTGGACTAATATTCTGCAGAAGGATGACCTTGGGCCCACACATCAAAATGAAATGACAGACCTTAAATAAGCGACTGAAAATACTGTACTCACTTTTTTCTAAATCGAAATTGAAAGTTCGACAAAAACTAAATACATACACTTACCTACTCAAACCAATCTGGACATACGCCTCTCAAATTTACGGTTCGACAAAAAAGACGCACTTAAAAAAACTACAGTCATTCCAATCCAAAATTTTACGACTTATAACAGGAACTCCTTGGTACGTCAACAACAAAACTTTACATAACGACTTTCGACAACCAACTATCGACCAACACATACGTACTCTCTACTCTCGTTTTCATCTCAAACTACACGGACACACAAACAGACTTATAAACGACATGGCTACGACTGACATGTCCATCAGGAGGAGACTAAAAAGGAGCTGGATGAGAGATCTCCTCGCCTAAATCAAAGTAATGGCCAGGAAGAGGTACTACTGGGTACTATCCTTCCTCATACCTATAATGCCAACCTCATTATGCCAACAACACATCTGGTGATTGTCAATACGATGACAGGTGCGGATAAACAGTTAAAGATTAAAAAAAAAAAAAATCATGAAAACTTTACTAATATCAATTAATTACAAAGCGAAAAAGGAAAACCATTTGATTACTAAAACAACATGTATCAGAATGAGAACCTTAAATTCCTCTATCAAACAATAGTGACAAATATACCAAACATTCTCACTGTGAGCGCTTTAAGAATACACTGCAAAGACATGGCATGCAGAATGCGATCTGGATATTATTTGCGTTACTTTATATTCCACTATCATTGTCACACAGAGTACGGATCGCATTCTGTGATTTGGAGCCACGTACAGCTTAAAATCTTTCGGAGCAATTGAAGTCTCGTAAGGGTCTTTGACTGAACTGTTTTAGTGGGGCACTGCATAATTCAGCTATTTTTTAAACTTAATTTTCTGGAATGTATCCTTGGAGATTTATATTACCAATGACGGTTATGATAAATATTATTCTAATTGTAAAATTGTCTTAAAAGACTATCTAATAGATGGGATTTTTACCTGTTTCTGTAAATTTGGAGTGCATCTATTAGATTTATAATTAATCTACCAGTTTCTTGTTCAATTTAAAAAACAACTTATTTTTTTTAGGAAGAGGTTTACTCGTCTACTACGAGAGGACTTGTCCGTGACGTCCTGCTTGGCTACAATGCTACGGTGTTCGCTTATGGAGCCACAGGAGCAGGAAAGACACATACCATGGTCGGGAACCAGACAAACCCTGGTATCATGGTACGAGCGCTCAATGATCTCTTTAACAGCATTAAAGGCCAGCAAGATGTATTTCAGGTATCTTAATTTTTTTTACCACTTACCGAGTGATTAATTTGACTAGAATAACAGTCAACTTATTTTTTCATAAGAATGATATCTATAAGAAGCAGCAGCCTCCTAACGATCCCTTTATAATTATTACCTCTTTGAAAATACATTACGAATGGAATATTATTTTGTTAAAAATTAGACTCAAGTTGAACATAAGTGCAGGACCATAAAACTGAAAATGGCTCCTCTTCAGATATCTAGACCGTTAAAGAACTATAGTATTAATCCTCATTGAAGAACAATTGAGTAAGCAATTCGGGATCATTTCAATTCAGGCTTGGATACCTTAGTAGTGAATTCCTGATCAGGAAATTGGAGTCGATTGTTGAAAAGTTAGAATAGTATGGTTATACAAAGTTTCAAGATTAACACTACACACTTCAAAATAACTATTGAAGAATTTCCATGGTTACCACTTCCAAATTTGATGTCAGATTTCTAGAAATTCCCATTAAAAAAATGAGAAACTAATTGTTTTGCAAAACCATTTTTGCGTAAGTGAGTGTTTAAATGTGTCTTATCCAATCAGTATCAGTTTTAGTCAAAATAATTCCCTATATTTATATGATTAACAGTTAATAAAAAGAAATTAATGCATATATGTAATGAACGAATTTATATTAATTGAAAAATTAAAGTAAGTTTTGATGACTTATTAATCCAATGTATTTCCAGGTAAAACTTTCTTACCTTGAACTTTACAATGAAAACATTAGAGATCTTCTCAACCCTAGCTCAGGGTTCCTTGAGTTACGAGAGGACCACTCAGGCAAAAACGCTACTGTGGCTGGGCTTACAGAAATTGAAGCTAGCTCAACTGAAGAAGTAATGGGACTTCTTCTTAGAGGTAACAGGGAAAGAACAATAGAGCCTACCGCAGCTAACAAAACTTCTTCCAGAAGCCATGCTCTTTTAAGTGTCACAGTTACCAGGATAGTTGGTGAAGAAAGAAGGCTAGGGAAGCTTTACATGCTTGATCTTGCAGGAAGTGAGAGAGCCTCAAATACAAAGGTTTGTTGATGGTTGCGACCATGCGGCCTTTACTTTAAGTTCTTCATTTTTTAAATTATTCAAAAAAAAAAAAAAAATTAAATTCCACATTAGCTTATCTTTTGTAAATTTGTCTATAAAATTTATTAGAACCGAGGAAAACGGCTCATTGAAGGAGCTCATATCAACAGATCATTGCTGGCACTGGGAAATGTTATCAACGCTTTGAGCTATGGCTCAGGAGGTCGTTATGTCAACTACAGAGACTCGAAACTCACCAGACTTCTAAGGCAGGCTCTGTCTGGCAACTGTCGGACAGTTATGGTTGGACATGTTTCACCAGCCTCTGCACACAGGGATGAAACAAGAAATACATTACTGTATGCAGCCAGAGCTTCCAGAATAACTAACAAAGTAATTAAATAATATGTATATATAAACTGATTTAATGCGCATTATTAAGACATCTAATACTTTGTCAGTGAAATTATTTAATAAAAAAATCATTTTAGATATATTTTTAATTATTTCCTTTTATTCAGGTTGAAAAAAATGAAATAGATGTATCATTTCAAGTATCACAATACCGTGATATCATATCTGATCTGAGATCGGAAATAAGTAGACTTAAGAGTAAGATGGTTGAAGATCGGCCAACCTCAGCAGAACTACGAAGTGGCAGGTCAACTGGCACACCTGTTAAGCAGTTGAGAGAGCAGATCATTGCAACATTTCGGGAGCAGATGAAACTGAGGTACACCTCAATTATAACCTGAGCAGTTTCTTGTTTTACTCTATTTCATCAATCATAATTAATTATCTATTTAAATATTCTATAGGATTGAATTGAGTTTTCCTATGAAAATTATCTTAAAGAGAGTATTATTATTTCATTTTTTGTTCCATTATTAACAAAATTAAATTCCTCAGTTTAATAAATAATTAATATAGTAATAAAATGAAAAAAAATTATTAGTTTAATAGATTGATTTTATTTATTTTTAATAAATAGAAGTTCCTCTACATTATTGGAAAATAACTTTTCCATATTTATATGAGAGTATAGGTTGGTTTTTAATTACATAATTAATTATAATAATCATAGGCAATCTGGTATAAACACTTTAGGACACAAAACATATTTTTGAGAATTAAAAAAAAAAAAATTCTAGCATCTATTTCTCTTGCATTCTCTGAAACTTTATTGGTATGGTTTCAAAGTGGTTCTACACCAGACACGAAATCAATATCAATTAGCTCTTTTTGAATTCTATAGAATGGCAGTGTTAAGTACTGCTGCAAAGTGGTTGTAATACAATTGTTATAATTATATGTTATAGTGAAATGTCTAAAAATCAAATAATTATAAGTTAATTCATTTTAAGAGTTTTGATTAATAAGTATCCTCAAAATATTCATTAATTGTAATAAAATTTATAATTTTAACTATTATTCTCTCATTATCCTGCTAATAAATCTTAGTGTCTGAAAAATTAAATTATTAACTTAACTGGCCATAGGCAACAATGGTGTAATATTTAGTTTTTTTTTATTAAGTTTATTTTTTAGATGTCGAGATGTAGAAGTTTTCTCTAAACTTCAGTAATTTTTTTTAATTGCATTTAGCTGTATTATGAATTGGTACCTCTGAAATTTGGAGCTTTTAATTTGTTTAATTAGATATGATTACATAAAATTCCTTCATATAACTTATAACTCAAATGAAAAATTAAAATTTTATGATAAGTAAATTAAATAATCGATAAGATCACCAACAATTCTTTTCAGGCGAAGGCTAATGGATATTGATGGACACTTAATGTCACTGGGTGTTGAAGCAGAGCGGCAGCATCAAATAATATCTCAATGGGAAGCAAGGAGAACTAAGTTATACACCAGAAGTGGTCGTCCAGGGACTACAAGCAGTAATGGTAATGAGTGTTTATTCATAATCTATTACATAACCCTCCAGTACATTCAATGATCTGAGAGAATTAGATTCAAACTACAAATAATTGTAAATTATAATAATTTTTATAAAGGTATGCTTTAAGCCTAGATAATTTTGTACTTTTGATAATAAATTTATATTTTCAACCTGCATACTGCACACTTTTGCACCAGTTGCTCTTAGTAAGAGTAAAATAATTTATGTGCTTCTCCTTTTTAAGATTTTTGTAGTGTTAATTTAGACAATTCCCATAACATGTTAATTATCACTGGATTAATCAACAGTGAGGTCAATAACAGAATCACTCTTTAATTTTCCATCATGTTTTCTTTATTCGAATCACTTTGTAAAAACATTCATAGATATAAACTATTCAAGAAAAAATGTCTAATGAATTTTTATACTAAATAATCAGCTCTCCGATTCCTATTATGTTACTAATAAAAACCTCTTGATCTATTAAAAATCAAATATTTTCATTGTTATACATTTTTAACTGCTTTTTGAAGATTAATAAATGATTAATGACGCCATTAAGATTAATTTTATTCTTACAGGCAGATAAGTATTGTAATTTTTTTCAATTTCTGAAAAAATGCTGTTAATAATTAAAAGGTTTTTTTTTATAGCTGGGGATGATTTCTCCGAAGTTAGTGTGCACCAAGCATGGTCTGAGCTTAGCTATATTGAACGAGAGCAGGAAAGATATGTGGCATTAAGATCAGCAACACTTAAAGAACTGGATGCTTGTCGGCAAACAGCAGTAGCTCTTGAAAACGTGAGTATTATAAATAATCAGTAATGCGCTACTTAGAATATATCCAGAGAGAAGAGCAGGAAGGGATAAGTACAAATAACATTATATATATTAAATTATATATTTTCATAACATTTTTGCTTCATACATTATAGAAAACGAGGTTGGGTTTTAAAGGTAAATTTAATATTTAATGGAAGCCTGAGAAAACCTTCTCTTAGCCCCTTGGTTTCTCTCTGAGACTCTGAATATATCGGGCCAATTCAGTAAATTATTTTATAAAATTGTATACATTTTTCCTTAACGCTGTCAAAATGAGAGACCTAAGAATTTTTTTTTTTTCATATCTGAGAATATAGAAGTAGTAAAAATGACTCCCTTTTCATTTTTTTTGGCTATTTCACTTTTTACTCTAAATTAGTAAATTATTATTTTGGCTTTAGCACAAAGCTACCATGCATTAATAAACACTAATTGAATTTTATGGGAAATAAAATCAGAATATACTGCTTATATTTTTACAAGATCCATTTAATGTGATTTATTGTACATTGAATTAAATAAAATTATAAATATAGAAAGAACATTATTATTAAATTATTATAATAGAAATTACTTTTAGCTAATAGTTTCTGATAAGTTAATTGTTTAAAATAACTATGAATAAAAATATTATGGCTTTAATAATGGATTTTTTATTCCAATTTAGGATCTTCCCGAGCAACTAGATTCTGAAACAGAAAGAGAAATGTTGAGTTTGCTGATCAGAGTACATGAGTTGGAAGCAGACAAAGTAGCTTTACAGGGAGAAAGGCTGGTCGAGTCTCATGAGCTAAGAAGGAGAGGTGATATGTTACAACGCTTCCACAGGCAGCAAAGACTTACAGATGAAATAATTACCAGGCAGAGGCATCTTATAGAAGGTATAAATGTGTTATTGAATTATTTTCTAATATATCTATTGATGGTTTATTTATTTGATGTTTTGTTGCCTCTACCCTTGAATATATTAATGTTTTCCTATTTTTTTATAGATGGTAAAATTCCTCTTCCTTCAGAGCTCCAAGAGTTATATACTTTATATCAGCAAGAAATACATGCAACAACGTTTAGTACAGATACTGCTGGTATTCCGTATTCAGTCTATGACACTTTACCTCCTATCAAAGAGTATGTTCCAATTTTTGTTTCTAATAAATGCAGTTTCGAATATTATGCCGGATCATTAATAATATTTTTTTCTTAGATCTGAACCATTGTTCAAAAGAAATGGTGAAAGGGGTTATACAGGAATAGCTTTGGAGAGGTTGACTAATACAGCAGATTCAGAGTTTGGAGGCAGAGCATCTACCGGGTATTACTAAATGAGTTTATTACCTTTTAAAAAAACCAATAAGTAAACAAAATTTTTTAACTACACAAAAATTACAATAAATAATATAAAAACTAATATAAGCATTCTAACCAAATTTCTTATGGGTACCAAACATTGTCTGGTAGATAATGAACTGGAGTAATTAAAAACTTTAAAAATGAGGATACATAGAATCAGCATGTAACTTCATTCTCATTAAGTAATAGCATTAAATTAACTAAATTTGAATGTATATATATGTGTGTGTGTGTGTGTGTGTGTGTGTGTGTGTTGACTCAATTTGTAGAAAGAAAACTTCAGGGATAATTACTGCTTATAGTTTTAAAAAAATTAATAAAAGGTTTATAGAAATCAGGATCATGGTTTTAACCCTAGAACGACATGCAGGGTTGTGACACACCCCACAAAATTTTAAATATTAATTTACTTTTATATTTGGCCAAGTGTTTTTCATATAAATAAACATCATACTTATCCAGGTTAATTACGGTTTTTAGCACTCTATTGTTGGGCTTATATCATTAGCGGGAGTTACCGAAAGTCATTATGGGGAATCCCACACCCCAGTGTGTTATTTACATGACCCTTGTGGGTGCCACAAACCCCAGTGAGCATTCTATGTAACTCTTCTGTGACTTTGTATCCCATTGTTTTCTTTGTTATTTTAAAACTCTTATTCAATTTTGGAACTTCGAATAATTCAGGCATTGATTTCTAATGTTATGTTTGTTAAGTAGTATTTTCAATTCACACATTAATGTATAGAGACTATTTTTTAGTATGGCAATTACCAAAAATATGTATTCTCCTAAAGAAATCTATAAATTGTTATGGGAGTTAGAAGATAAAGAAAAGATGCAAGGAACATATTAAATAAAGATGGCATATGTACAAAACTTAAATGTGTCATGTGTACACAACAGCTAGAAAAACAAGGAGGTGTCTCTCTGATTTTTCATTGGAATTTTGAACCTTGTTGGTATAAACAGCATAATATTGTTCAGCTTATTTAACTGGAAAATTGAAAAAATTATTTATATGGATTAGGCTATTCGCTACTTGAGCCCTGTTTAAAAGAAATACTTCAAGTGGAGACATTCACATGAACGGTGAGTTTCAATATAAAAGAAATTTCAGGAATTATAAAATAAACAACTACTATTGCAAAAACAAACCAAATATTCATTTGCAACAGAGGGAAATAGGAAGACAAAAATGGTTCGTCAGCAATGTAAAAAACCTATCTGCAAAGAACACAGGGACACAGTTTGCTTGGATTGTTGTGAGTGAGTGGTCACTTAAATGGCCACTGCTATAGATTTTATTATCTTCTTAAGTAAAAAAAAATGTTTCCTTTATTATGTATATATTTTAAATTTCAAATATTTAATTGATATAAACTTAATGTATTTTCAATAAAAAGATATTGATTTTTTAGCGATGTAGACATAAACATTTTACTTCATGTGAGCATATAAAATATATTCTAAGGTTACCTTGAATTTATTTATTTTTTTGTTTTCCTGATTACGTGGCTTGTTTCTGAAAAGTATTTGAGTTTTCCAGAGCATGACAATTAAATTTTATGATAATTTAAAGTTTACGGTGTACCACACCCCAGGATCAGAATGAGTTGACGTATTTAGGTGTATCGTTCTAGGGTTAATAAGCTTTATAATATTTAATTTTTGTTTTATGAATCATACTCATCAAAGATCCCATGATTCTGAAATAATGGTTTAAATGGCAATAAATTTACTAATTAGTTACTTAAATAATCAATTATCAGGGTCGAGAATTGGAAACTAATACCTATACAATTTTTTATTTATTTCCCAGACCTTGTACAGTTAATACAACAGAATCCTCTGATATATATATATGTATGTATTAGTAATATTCCATTAATTCACAGAATTAAATTTTAAGTGAACTCTAAAGTTTAAACCCATAAGCAAAGAAAGAAAAAAATATATTTGGCAAACAAATGATGAATAAATGACAAACAAAAAATGCTCAATCTATGCATCAATTTTATTGATTTAGGTTCAGAACTCCATTGCAGTTATTAGTTTAATGTGTAAAATTGGGTACTGAAATCAATATTAACGACTGAAATAATGCATTATTAAATTTTTTATAATACACTTCTAATGTATGGCTTTTCAATAAGAAAAAATCATTGAATATGTAGCATAAATAAATATAATATAATTTTATTTGAACATTTTTAGTTATCGTCATCTAAGGATTGAATTTTTGCATAAAATCTATTATAGTTAAATGATCCAAGTATATAACATGATTAAATCTTTTTCTGTCTTCTTCCCAGAGGATCAACCTCCACAACAGAATGGGATAATTCCTTACCTCGGTTAAATACAAGTTCATCATCTACTCACAACCAGAGGCCAGCTAATACCTCAACACCTCCACCAGTGCTGTTTCCTCCTATTAGTAAAAGCTAATGATGGTTAATTTATGAGAATCATGTATCTCTAATCATTGAATGTAGAAATATGTAAATATAATTAGTGTTTTTTAAGAAATAAAAAGTACAAATATTAGTATGTATTATGTAATTAATATTTGTATAAATGATTACAAATAACATAAATTTAATTATATTGATTCAAATGTGAATTTTTTTAAAACTTTTTTTTTACATCCACGTCTGTCTTATATTACATTGACAATGAGTGTATTGTCTGTCAAAATCACTAATTAGAATAATGGGCTGTCAGGCATGAGAAAGGGGAAAAATACCCAGCAGTACCTTCACACTTAAAGAAAAATTTGGAAAATTTTAATGTGGTTTTCATAAATGTTTTTCCAGAATTATTTGATTTGTTTTTTCTAAAGTAAAAAATAAACACATTAATGTATTTAATAAATATATACAACAGATTTTTTTTATCCACAATTTTCTCCTTGATTGTGGATTAGAATTTAAATAGTGATTCTAGATATTGAATTACTTATATGCATAAATAAAGGAGTTTGAATTTCATCATCATTCATGGCGCTACAACTCCTGTAGAGTCAAGGCCTCCTGCAAGTCAAGGACTGCTCTCCAATTGCGGATTTCCAAGATGGACTTGCATCCGCTGCCACCCCATCAATCCATCAGTTTGAATTAGCTAGTTTATTTATTTGGTGTATTAAAAAGTATGTTTACTTTATTGAAATTTTGAATTATCTTTCTTCAGATTTTTTAACGAAAAAATCATACCCATAAGGAAACATGATTAGTAACAAAAAATATATCCAAAGAAGCTTATGGCTATAAATATTTCAGAATCAGATTATCAGTTGGCATAACGACAAGCCTCCATATAGAGAATTGTATTTTCAGAATGATATTTTGGAATATTGTCAACTGATACTTTTGTGCTGTTAATTTTTTTTGTACGTTTCTTAAATAAATTTATTAAATTTTCTTGTCTTTATAAAGTGTTTAATGACTTTTTTATTTTTACATACAGTTGTAAGAAAAGAAAAAAAAGTCCAAAATATGATTTACTGGCAAAACACAAGGGTGAAATTTTTTAAACTTTGTTGGAACATTTAATGATAATTATGTTGCTAAAACCTGAAATAAATAATGTACAAACTGGTTATTTGTACCATACATTTTGTAGATTTTTATCTTTTAAAATTTTTTCTGGTACTTAATAGTTTTTATTTTTTTCTCAAAATGATGAAAATTTAATTTGATTCATTTATGAAGTAACCAATCAACTCAGAATATAAAAAGATATTTCAGTTTTATAAAGAAATTAAGTAAATATTCTGGTAAAGTGTCATTAATAAATATGCTTTGGTGTCTGAAACCTTAGAAATAAGTATCATTTAATTTTTTGTTTGTATTTAGACTTTAATTTATGTAGGCAGTTACCTAAATATTTATTTTTATTGAATTGCAGTATAGTAAAAAGAAAAAACTGAAAACTTTTTATTTATTTTCATAATTATAGAACAATTCCAAAACGTTTTAAATCTACATTCTAATGGGTACAAAATTAAATAGATCATATAAATGATAAACTTGTATAAGTTATTATCATTCAAGGCTTTATATACTATAGGTAAATCAGATAATTCTGATTATTTAGTTACCATTGAACTTAATAATACCACACTAATTTATCGTATCAATAGTTGTATATAATATAAAAATAATCAAACTAATAACAGTAATCCTAATTAAAATCGTAATACAAATATTAATGTCTTTCATAGTAGTATTTTAGGAAGTAAAATATAAACATAAATTAAAAATCCATTATAAAAACAAATCTAAAATGCAGAGGCCTGCATTCCAGCTACACCTTATGTCAAACTTCTTTCCATATACCCAAATTAAAATAACAAGCTACAGTAGAACATATCACAAAGTTTCATATGGAGGATGAATGATGCATTAAAACACTCCAATTCTGTTCTAATCATGAAGTAATATATATATCATTACAAATATATTGCAAATTTATTTGTAATGATCATGTGGAAATCTTATTTAATAAGTCTTATAGTTGGGCAGAGATCTCACATTTGATCCCATTAAAAAAAAGTTGACATAACTTACAAAAGGCTAAGTTATACTTAAATGAATTACTTAATGCATTTTGAGCCAAACAAATTTATAATAAGTCTATACATCTTGTGAATTTTTTTTATCACATTATAAAAAAAATTTGACATTAAATAATTGAAGGAGTGTTTTATCGTCCAATAATTGTTGGCTCGTCTGCGAGAGCAATTTCTTCAGTTGGTGCTTTGTCACCTTTCCTCTTTTTAGAGTAAACTAAGAAGGTAATAGAAGAAAAAGAATTGAAGATAAATACAACCCATCCAAGGTAGAATGAATACCCATAAGTGTGATAGGCTTCTTTTGGATGCACAACATTTAAACTTAGTCTCTCATAATCTATTGAATTAATTAGCACCTCTATTACAACCATCACTGTTGCTCCTACAAAAACAATAAAATTATTATTTAATAAATACATTTATTAAATTATGTATTCATTACCAAAAAGTAATGTAGTTGGTATTAAGATTTATCTTATATTCGCCCTCATATGAATAAATAATCTAGATGAGAACTGTTCAAATATAGGAAAGAACATCTTGAGAACTAAATTTTTAATCTCATGTAAATACGGCTTTAAACGTCCTATGCATGGCACATATTAAAATCTAATTAAAGTCTCTGGTTTTGAAAAATATAAATTAATAGACACAATAATATTCTGGAGTATAGGAGATTTTTAAATAATCTGTATGTTCTTTTTTATTATTTTAATACATTTTCTTTGTTTTCTTTTATTTATCTCAAGTTTAGTCCCTCAAGGAAATAATAATAAAAATGAAAACATATAATATTACAGAAAAATGTTTATATGGATTTGTTACTTAAATCATGCATAGATCCCAAATGGAGTGTGAAAAATATTTGGAAATCTTGAATACATTTTTATTTCTTTGAACCAAATTAACACTCTAGAACTAAGTTGTATAATTTATACATATGTTATGAATACGCGCTTAGTGAGCCAACAATGTGGGCTAGGGGCCAGTTTGTTTCAACAGAGTTGAAGTTTATGAGCTGTCAGTAAAACATCGAAACAAAACCCTTGGCACTAAAACAGACTAGACTAACATTTCTAGTTCATATAAATTGATATAAGAAAAATTATAATATCTATATCTAGAGCAACTACTTCACAACCAGAAGAACAATATACTTTTACAGTCTATTATAAAAATTAGGTATTTTAGTTTTAGATTTATTTTTAAATAATAATGTATTTTATTTATTATGTATACCTGACATAAAATGAATCCCAGCTGCAAGCCTTTTAAACATGTACCTTGGATTTCTGAAAGTGTAAATGGAAAATAGGAATCCCATCACCATCAATATGAAACTTAAAATGGAAAAAAATATTTCAGTTCTCGTATAATCTGAAATAAAAGTAAATAAAATAATTAAAACATTAAAGATATATTTTATCAAAGCCAGAACTAAGGAGAGATAAAGGGGGCATTTGCCTAGGGTGGCAGAATTTAGAAGGTGGCAAATTTCGAGAAATGTTTTTTTTTAATTTAAGGAAAACATATTTCTTTATACTTTTTGGTTGTTTTGACTTTGAAACAGTCAATGACACAGGTTAATATTATCTGATGAGGACATTTATTTTGAAATACATTACCTAAATTATGGTATAAAATGTTGAATTTTATGGAGGGAGGAAAGAGAGCAATTGAAGGTTAAAAGAACAGGTAGTGAAATTAAGCTTATCTCTCCTGAAAAAATCCTAGTTCCAGCCCTGATTTTATGTGTGTGTGTGTGTATGGATGTTTATATAATGAATTCCTACTGAATTACATTTGTGTTTAATTACAAAAATTAAATTTATAGTGTTTCTTATTTCAATTAAAAGGAAATTCAATTAAGTTTTAGCGATGATTCTCTTTATGTTCCAAAATAGAAAAAACATTTCTACATCAGATTATAGAATAATTGGATATAATTAATAAAGATAACATGCATTTATCACTAACAATTAAGATTATAGTAATTGGTTCATTAGACGTAGAGCTACACATCTATTTTTTTAATGTCTTTATTCAGTTGTATATTGGTCGGTGTTTAATGAACAACTTTTAAGTTTTAACAGTTTTCCATGATCAATATTATTTTGGATAATCATAATTTTTTTTACTCCTAAAATTAGGTAATAGTGCGATCTTAATAATCTGTATGAGCTACTAATGGGTATGTTTGGATTACGGAAAAGTTTGGATCACAGATTTTGCATTGCATCAAGCATTTTTAATTAATTTATTTTTTCAGTTAGTTTTGTTTATTTTGACTTTTGGGGAACGTCCTTCACCACTTCATCTCTTTGTAGGCGTTATAGCAGAAGATTCTGTTTTAGCAGCATCTTGTTTTATGTTACCCACTGAATATTTTCATCTTTTACTGTCATTCTGTTTTTATAAAAGAAGATGAGGGATTACCAAGAGGCACTTGACCCGTAGGGAAGAATTTAAAATGCAACAAATTCCAAATAAATTGTTTTAGCTTAAGTAAAGATTTATTTTTCTGATTTATGGTTGTTTGACATTAAATATCATTCTTAGAAGACAATATTTATTATCTAATGAAAATATGCCTGTACCTAAATTTTGTTATGAAATGTTGATTTTTGCTGGAGGTAGTAGGAGATTAAAGAAAGGGTGGCAAAATTAAACTTCCCTCCAGCCAAAAATTCTAGTTTCATTTCTGTGTTGAATAGTAGCAACAGAAAGAGTGGCTATGTGTACGCACTTATAACCATTAGAATATTCCCAGAAATTCGATTTGCATTGAGGACGTCTTTTGTAAGAACTTTTTCTTTGCCCCTCTGTGACTCTTTTCGATCCTACACAAACCATTCTATCCATCCTCCTTTTTTTATTTATTTATTTTTTTTTTTTTGCATGTTTGGATAATTAAAGATTGGACTAACGGTTTTTAGATTATACAATATGACCCTAATTAATTCAATATTCACTCCAATTTTATTAATTAGATATTTTTGAAACAACTGTTTCATGTAACACAACTCGATAGCTGTATAATTTTAATAAATACCAACAATATTCTAGTATAAAAAATATTACCTACTCTAAATTGCTATTCTCAATAATTAATAATAATATTAACTAAAGATTGTTAGTATTTTATACTATTATATATACTAAAGATAACTAAATATTTTGCACTCTCTAACTTAACTGTGTGTATAGTTTTCTTATTAATAGTGATCTTATGCTATTAAAAGGAGTTAGTGAATGATAACTTACTAATTAACTTACTAATAATGGTTTTATCTACCCATATCCCAGCCTTTAATTTATCTTCAGTGGGAAATACTTCATGTAGCCAACAAATTTCTGAAACAATTATTGAAATAACTATTTTTTTCCAATACTACATCACTTAAAAGTATATATAGTTTTAGGTATATGACCAAAAATTTTAAATAAGGATTTAATACTTCATCAAAAAACATATATTATGTTGGTGCTGGAAGTGAATTTTCTGATCTTACTCCACAATGTCTATATCAAAGTGTAGTATAAAAGATGACTATGTATGAACTTTCTGTAAAACATTAGCTATCTAATAATGATAGTGTGGGAGAAAAATATATAAATTGTGTTAACCATCATTTCTTTTTGATGCAGAAGGTTAATTAACTGCAGTTGGCAAGTGTGTAGTATGTGTAACTTATCAACTGGCACTTATCAAAAACCATAAATGGTTATTCAACAATTAAATTTTAGGAATCTTAAATATTATGTTAAAAAATAAATGGGATAAAATAATATTACTGTGCAAAGTTTTATTATTATTATTTATTATTTTATTTTATGCAATTTGCACCTGCGCAGCTGCGCATCTAGCAAATTTGTTGTATTTTTATTGTCTTGGTGTAATTGCTTGATTTTTTTTTTTTTTTTTTTTTTTTTTATTGATGTAGTAGGTCTCTTGGCCATTTTCTTCTTAATCTTCGTTGCTCAGGTAACAGGGAGCAGGAGATAGAAAGAACCAGAGGATTGGAGTGATTTTGGGTTGAAGAATGAAATGTAGTGTATTTGTCGTGGATGTAGGATTTTACTGTTGGGATGTTTAAGTCGTTATGTATAGTAGTGTTTGAAATGTACCAAGGTGCGTTAACAATTTTTCGTATAATTTTTGATTGTGCTGTTTGTATTTTGTTTATGTGTGTTTGTTTTGCTGAACCCCAAAGTTCTGCTCCATATGTCCATATTGGTCTCAGTAAGGTGTTGTAGATAAGTCGCTTGTTTCGTAAGTTAAGTGAAGATCTGTAGTCCAGAAGATGTGAAAGTTGGCTATATCGTCTAGTAAGTTCTTGTCTTTTTAATTTCGTATGTATGTTCCAAGTAAGCCTTTTGTCTAAGTAGAGTCCAAGGTACCGTACATAGTTCTTTGAAGGCACTGGATTATTGGCAATCGTTATGGGTGGACATGAGGCTTTCCTAAGAGAGAAACTAATGTGGGTGGATTTTGTACTATTAATTTTGATTCTCCAGTTTTCAAACCACTTTTCAAGAGAATGAAGATGGTTTTGTAGGGCAATTGATGCGATAGTAGGATTTTTGTGTGAAGATAGAATAGCAGTGTCGTCAGCGAAGCAATAAATGGTGGTATTAGGGTGCTCAGGGATGTCAGAAGTGTATATAGAATAGAGGATTGGGCTCAAGACGCTACCTTGTGGTACGCCTTTGTGTTGGGGAAAGAAGGAAGATACAGAAGAGTCTACGGAAATACAGAAAAATCTATTAAGAAAGTAGGATTGAAGAATTAAAAAATAAGTGGAAGGTAAGTGCGGTTTTAGTTTCCATAATAGGCCCTTGTGCCAGACACTATCAAATGCTTTCTCTATGTCGAGAAAGACGGCAGAGCAATATTCCTTTTTTTCAAAAGTCATAGAGATAGCATCTACTATCCGATGGCACTGTTGCACAGTAGAGTGATAACAGCGAAAGCCAAACTGGTGATTTGGTATCACTTCACTATATTCTAGAATAGGCTTCAGTCGGTTTAGTAATAGTTTTTCAAATAGTTTGCCCATTATTGGAAGAAGTGCTATAGGACGATAGGATGAAGGAGAAGTGGTAGGTTTTGAAGGTTTGGCAATCATTTTGATTGTGGAGAGTTTCCAAAGGAGAGGAAAATAGGTAGTGCGTAAAATGGAGTTATAGATATGTGTAAGAAACAAAACAGCTTTTCGAGGTAGGTGTCGAAGAATGAAGGGAGTGATTAGATCATAGCCAGGAGCTTTTTTGTTTGGTAGTCTGTTGATTTCTTTGTAAATTTCTTTCGGATGAAATGCCGGTGGGGGTAGTGATAAGGGTAGTGGTGTTGTCAGTTCTTCTTCTATTGCGTCAGTAAAATTATTGTCCTGTATTCTGTTTGTCCCAAATACTTGTGCAAGATATTTAGCGAATTCATTGGCTTTTTCTTCGCTTGTTATTGCCCAAGTGTTGTCTGTACGTCGGAGAGGGTATTGAAGGTCTTTTTTCTTTAGTATACGTCTTGTTGTTGTCCATATTGATCCATTTCTATTGTTTATTGTGTCTATGTAGTCTTTATAGCTGTCATTTTTAAATTTTAATAGTTTTTCGTGAAGTTTTCTAGTTAGTTTGTTGAGTTCTGTTTTGTACGATGGATATCTAGTTCTTTGCCATAGGGCTCTAATCCTACGTTTTTCTTTTATAAGATTATGTATTGGCTGAGGTAGGTAAGAAGCAGGTTTAGTGCAAAGTTAAATAAATTAGGACATTAATAAAAGATATTTTAGAAAAACACAAAAGATATATAAAAAACTAAACAAATAATAATGGTATCTGAATAATAATAATATAACAATAATATAATATAACAATAATATAACAAATATAATATAATATATATAAAATAATATACAATCTGGAGAATGGTTATTTATTTTATAATTTTTAAAAATGTATTTTATCGTACTGAGAATTAAGTAAATAATATTATTTCAATAAGTTCAAATGAAATTTAAAATAATGATATTTAAAACAAGTTTTCAAGGTAAAAATACTTCATGAATATAGGAAAATAATGAAAAATGAAGTAGAAATAATGATACATGTATATTTTGAATAATAATTTATTAATTTGGCTAGGATCAAAGTTTATTTTTGACAATGGTTGTCTGGCATGTATCCGAACTGTTCTATTTTATTTTAACAGACAAGATCTGTTCATTTTTCTCATCTTACAAGAGCCTGTAAACTATTCTTCGCATTTTTTTAATGATCTTTTTCAATAAAACTACACTACAAAAATTCTGTTTAAGTAATATACCATTTTGAATTAATTTTCTGTAGGTTAATTGAAATTAGCTTATTTCTAGCAAAGTTTTTAATTCATTTTTTGTTTGCTAAGTTTGTTGTAAAAAAATGTTATTCATCAACAGTTGGTGAAAACAAGTAGTCATATTTATAATACCTTTAAAGTGATTAAAATGATTTTTTTTACTCAATAATAAATTACGGCTCCTTTTATTATATATAGTTCACTCTTTATTTTCTGGAGCATAGATGTTAGTACGGTTTGCATTTGTCGCCAATAAAAATCATTTTAACTTTTACTTTTGTCGGACCTATTTTACATCTTCACTGGATTTATATTATATTTTCATCTCTAGGCAGTCCCCATTTTCTTTTTTCCTTCTTCTGTGTGGTGGCAACACAAAAAGAAGATTCCTGTATTACTCTTCCTATTATTATTCTTTATACTTAAACTATTATTATTCTTCCTACATTAAAATTTCTTTTAGAATCAACTCTAAAATCTTTTAGAGCCAACAGCAGTGTTCTACTTATACACAAAACCAATAGTACTGAATGTTCTCCTCAGTCACAAGCTGAAGGAGTCCTTCTCTAGCACACATTGAACCAGATTTCCCTCAGCAGTTTTACTCTCTGATGATACCTCTTGGAACTCTGCAACTTAAGTATAGGGGATTTATGTCCTTTCCAAAATCATGCACATATCATGAAGATTCCTTATGTTCTGTTAAGAATTCAGGATCAATATTATGTCTTCTTACATATTATATCTTAAGGTAGGTGACTACCTCCTTTGAATGTGGATTATATCAACAATGTAAAGATTTATAGGTCATGCCCTATTTTTTTTTTTTTTTGTCTCCACCAACTCTTGCTTAGGGATATCATCCTGTTGCAGTTGGGTTATATACATGCTACTGCCAATAACACTCTTGTTTCTCAATTTTGTTTCCTCACCACCAAAAGTTGTGAAGCTTTGTATTCATGCGGGAGGTTAAAAAAGTGTTGTGCTCAGAATCGCAAATTTCCATTGACGTTTTACGTTTCAAGTATCAAGGATCAAATTTAGTTCGGTTTCTGTTAGTCTGTCTATATTCGATGTGATAGTGCACATCACCACTATCATTTATCAAATTTGCATTAAATTTGCAGGGATTGTACGGGTTGGTGCTTAGATGGTCCCGAATAAATTTTACTTCCGCTCGTACATAATTTCTTTGATATTCAAATAATTCAGAAACTATTCGTTCGATTTCACTCAAAATTAAATTAACAGTAGGTAATGGTAAGAAAATGAAGTCCTTCTGAAACTCCTTCTGGGCACCCTTGAGTGCTGTTGTCATGAAGCTAATCATTAATTATCAAACATCTACTGTATAGGAAAAACGTTCTTCGATATTATGTGACTAAAGATTGTTCCCCTACTTCGACTACGGTTGCCTGGTATATGGAGGGCTGTTCATTGAACTTTGCCTCCTGACTGAAGAAAATTATGAACTGCTTCATAAGATTCATATTTGGGATTCCCAAGCATTCTCATATTTCTTGTTGGTACGCCGAGTTGAAGTGGCTATGTCCTACTTCTCGACGGTAATTCCTACTTGGTGTTTTCTTTTTTCAAGTTCTCAGGAGCAAAAACCCTCTCTACATCTTAGAACTCCTTACTTTACGCTCCTCTATCCACTCTCTCAATACCAGATCTCAACCTATAAATTTATATATCCCCTCAAATAAAATCACTTCCTTCAGTAAATCCTTCGTCATTCGAGCTACCTCCTTATGGAACTTCTTACCCATCTCCATACGTCAAACCACGTCCATAAACTCCTTCAAACAACTCCTATTCCACCACCTACTACAAATTCAAGTATCCGCAAGCTTGTAAAAATTTCTGGGTTATATAATTATGTTGGCCACCAGCAGTTAATTGATAGAAGCTATTTTATTTTTATTTATTAATTTTTTTTATATCTCAGTATTTTATTATATATATATATATCTGTTTTTATCACTATTATGTTATGTAGATATTTTCCTTGGTACTTTTATTTATTTATATATATATATATATATATATATATATATATATATATATATATATATATATATATATATATATATATATATATATATATATATATATATGTGCTTACAATTTCTTAGATATTTTTTGTATATATTTATATAATACTTACATGCCAGACTAAGGTACATATTTTGTAAACTCTACTAGTATTCTAAGGGGACTTCAGTCCCAGAATAAAATTATTTTTCATTTCATAAAGATTAAATCAAACGATATTTCGAGTTATTTTCATGAATAAGAATAAAGATATGCAATTTAGAAGAACTTCCAGAGCCAATACGAAATATAAAATTGTTTTTACTTACTTTGGACCGGACTGGACTCGTTTCGCCGAGCATACCTGCAGAGCCTGAAGAGCCCCGAGGTGCTGTAGAGGAAGTACCTGGCGGTGGCGTTGATGTAGAGGCCCTCCGGGGTGGGGGCGTGGACCGAGAACCAGCTCTCCGTGCAGACCGCCGTCAGCCAGACCAGGGCGGCCAATCCCACGAGGCCGGTGCAGCCGCACAGCATCCTCCTCTCCAGGACCAGCGCCTTCCTCTTCGCCGCCATCGAGGCTGTCTCCACCATCTCCCCGTCTGTCAACAAGGATAACATAAGTGGCTAATATAATCTAGGTTATGTAAACATAAATAAGCTTCGAGAGTCTAAGGAGTCTTCTATATAGGGCAGGAGTTACCCTATTGCACAAACTGATTCGTACCGCCTGACATGGGACGATTTTAATATCCAATAGTAAATGAATCGCTCTTAATATAAACGTATTCAACAGTTATTAAGTGTATATATTTTTATGAAAACTAATAATTAAACAGTGATAATCAGAGGTGTCGGCAGTGGAGAGGCAAGACACTTTCTGGCCACCATATATTATTTGAAGTGCGGTTCGCAATCATTTATTTCAAATAACTCACAAAAAGTCTAACCAACCATATAAAACATAGGGGGAGAACCTGAGGCCTCTAGGATGCATGTGGCCTCCGTGACGTAGTTGCGATCTACAAACGATATTTAATCATCTAGTGCTAGAATTAATTAATATTTCATTGTTAAAGTTATAAAAATTTGGATATTAATAGATTTAAATTGTATATGGGTGTGTATATTTATTGATAAATAAAAATAGCAACAGCGAAATATAAAGAATTGTTGCGGCTTCCATTAGCGCTGCCTAACCTTACTGCGGACTCTAATGATAAAAAGGTGCCCCACTTATGGTTTAGATAATAATAATGTTAGTTGGCCATTGTTACTGAGATACTCTGTCCTCTCTTCTGTATTGAACAATGTTATCACGGCCTTCCAATTTTTCGACAGTGCCGGAGCCCATGATGGTGATACGATTTTCTTAAAAATATAAATATCGTTATTAGCATAAGCGAATGCTGATAGGATGAAGGATTTATCAGGTATTTAAAGACCAGAGTGGCCTGCATGAACTATACGTTGGACCCCGAGTTGTTGGGGATCGAACATAACAGAAGTTTGACCGTAGCAATTGAGGTAAGAAGACATGGGAAATAAGACAAAGGATGGTCACTCCCTCATGAACTAAATAAACTCAGAGATACAGTACTGGACATTACTAGACTTATCAAGAAAATTTTGCCGAAAAGGTAGTGAGTGGAAAAATATCTGAAACAAACATTTAAAAATACGCAAGGAGAAGGATAAATCCAAAACATTGAGAGTCAGAACAAGCTGTCTATCCTTTCATCGCAGAAAAAAAGAAGAAGCAACAAATATTATGAAAAACGGTTTGATAGCGATATACTGGTTTACGGTATTTCAACGTTTTGAACGAAAGTAATCGTTAAAAAAGGAAATTAAATTTGAAAAAATCTCCGTTTTCGGTGAATATTAAAGTGAAGATTTAAGTTTTAATTTAAAATACAGCTGTATACTGTCCTCCTGGCAATTCCCTCTCGTATAGCCTACTTGAATCCTTATTACAATCCCTCGGATCGCGCTTTATTGCTGGAGGAGACTACAATGCTAAACACCAACGATGGGGTTGTCGATCATCCAACTCCCGTGGTAATACCCTTTCACAAGTTTCTTCTTCCAACAATTATTCCATCCTCTCGCCCATGAATCCTACTTATTTTCCAACATCCCTCAAAAAACGTCCCGATATCCTGGACATATTTATCACCTCCCAGATTTCCTCCTCCCAAACTATAATCAAATCCCTGGATGACCTTTCTTCAGACCATAGTCCAGTTCTGCTTTCACTACATTCTGACTTTGCTCCTAAACCATCACTTCCTAAACTGATCACTGGACGAGTAAACTGGGACAAATTTCGTGATGATTTGGAAAACAAACTAGACCTCAAAATCCCGCTAAAGACAAAAGAAGACATCAATTGTGCCATAGAAAAACTGACATCATCAATAACAGACAGTATAAATAATAACACATTTATCAATAAGATTAACTTCCCACAAAATACTAACTTGCCACAGCATATTCGTATCTTATTACAGGAAAAACGCAGAGCAAGATCGAAGTGGCATAGGACTAGATACCCAACAGATAAATCGCATTACACCCAACTGACTAACAAACTGAAATCAGAAATAAGAAAATACAAAATTCAAAATTTACTAAATTTTACTGAAAAACTTACAACCACTGACAAATCATTATGGATGACCACCAAAAAACTTCTTAAGTTTCAAGACTTTAATCACCCACTACTTACTGATTCCCAAACCTGGTCCAAATCCGACGAAGAAAAAGCCCAACTATTTGGTCAACATCTCTTCCAAACTTTTAACCCACATCCCGATATCCTTAATTCAACTCACATCAATTGTATTGAGGCAGAACTGGATATTCCTCTCCAAATGTCTCTGCCACCCAAAGCATTTCATCCCATAGAAATATCCAACATCATTCAAAAATTGCCTTCCCGTAAAGCTCCTGGACATGATCTAATTACATCCCAGATCCTAAAACTTCTTCCTCGAAAAGCCATCCTATTCCTTACTTACACATATAATGCTGTACTCCGTTCTACATGTTTTCCTGATCCTTGGAAACGATCTATTGTTAAAATGATCCACAAACCCAAAAAACTACCAGAATACCCATCCTTTTACCGTCCTATCTCTCTTTTACCCATCATGGGCAAGATCCTAGAAAAACTCATCTTAAAACGCCTGTACCCTATCCTAAATTCTAAACACATAATCCCAGATCACCAATTTGGTTTCCGAACTTCCCATTCCACTATACAGCAATGTCATCGTGTGGTAGACATAGTATCCTCTGCATTGGAGCGCGGAATGTACTGTACGGGAGTCTTTCTCGACGTTGAACAGGCGTTTGATAGAGTTTGGCACCCGGGACTGCTGTACAAACTCCGAAAATTCCTACCACCTACACACTTCCTCATTATCCGTTCTTACCTTACTGATAGATACTTTAAAGTAAATCTCAATAACGCCTATTCATCCCTTTTTTCCCAGTCCGCTGGTGTTCCTCAAGGTAGTATCCTAGGTCCTATCCTCTATACAGTTTATACAGCTGACATCCCAACCCATCCCAACACTGTCATCACCACATATGCCGATGACACATGTATCCTATCAGTAAACAATGACCCAGCAATTGCATCCCAAATGCTTCAATCACACATCATAAATCTAGAAGAATGGTGTCAAAACTGGAGAATTAAAATAAACTCCAATAAATCCCACCAAATTACCTTTACCCTTCGTCGTAAACCAACGACTTCCTGTCCTACAGTTTCCTTTAACAATACTCCACTTATCCCTGTTGAGCAAATCCGATACCTAGGACTCCACCTGGACAAACGACTAACTTGGAATCCTCATACTAGACTGAAACGACAAGAAACCGCTCGACGTTTCCGATTACTTCAGCACTTACTAGACAAACGCTCTAAACTTCCCATTAATTACAAAAGACTCATATACTTGACTATAATAAGACCTATTTGGACTTACGGAGTTGAGCTATGGGGCTCCACTAAACCATCGAATTCCTCTCGCATCCAATCCTTACAATCCAAAATCCTTCGTAAAATCCTCAATGCTCCTTACTTTGTCACTAATAAAATTATCCATAAAGATCTTAATGTTCCTTATGTTTCAGATCTGGCCCAATCCAGATACCTATCCTTCCATAATAAACTTCAGAATCATCCCAACCCTCTCGTTTCTAACCTTGCTTCCTCTTCAATTCCTGATAACCCTCCGAGGCGTCTGAAAAGAAGATGGCCCCGTGATCTCCTAATGTAGTCATATCATTAGAGTGCTACCATTGGGTAGTTACTCAGCAAGTGTATTCATGTCATTATATCAATTATGTCCAAATTTACTTGATGTATTTATGTAATACAGTTGTAAATGTCATAAAGAAATAAAAAAAAAAAAAAAAATTTAAAATACACCTTGGCCCTACACTTACAAGGAGTTCCGAGCTCGTGAAAAATAAATTAAAGTAGAATTGATTTAAAAATATTATAATTTTAATTATAAAGGACCACCAATGCCACATAATTATATTATAATGAACAAACGTCTTATTTTTTTAAAATCTAAAATAAAGCCCAATACATCAGGGGCACAACTTGCGCCATCAAATCCCCTTATGGGCAAACCTGCATTACATTGACTGAAATAATATTATTCGTCTAAGTTTCAATATAATTTATTAATTCTTCCACCTGCGAGAAGAATATTTTCAGAACAAGATGAAGAGGGAAGACCTTGTGGATTTACCGGTGATTCTCCGTGAGAGGATCAGTGCATGCTTTAATAGATGGAAGAGGATTCTCCGGGAGAATAAATTAGAAGAATGGAATCGGCATTAGGCGACCACGCGAAATGGGTAAGAGAACAAGAGGAACAAGAGTGCTAGATATAAAGAATAAAATAAATTGTTTTGTTTTTTAGTATTGAGTTTTAACTCAATTATGAATCGCATTCCAATAGTACAGATACTCGTACAGCTTTACAAGAAGAGAATGGTAATAAATAGTTTTGATATAATTTCATAACGCATTCGTAATTTACTCCACACATTTTTATTACTTAGACACGAATATTTTTTTGCCTAATAAACTAGGTAATGAAAACCTCGGTGAGCGATCGGGAGATTCGTATTGCCTAGGAGCCTTTGTACGAGTCTCAAATGGGTTCACTCAACAATATACAAGTTTCATTCTCTGTCAATTGTGTAAGAGACCAAGTAGCATATGTTATTAGAATATCCTTAATATCAGTTCAGTATTCTCCATTCAATTAAATTTGTAATATTATTAAATAAAATAGAGTCAAGATGTAGAGTCTGATTTTATACATTAACCTTTTAGCTATCACGAAGTTTAAATGACAAATTAACTGGTACCATGGGACCTTTAGAAAAGGTTATCTATTTTAGAAAACGATACCAACTTAAACCACTTTTTATCGAATTATTAATACCCGTCTACAACTAAGCGAATGGCTTCATTTCATCTTAACCTAACACTTTATTATATAAAATAATTCTGTGAAAAGAGGCGAATTCTGGTTAAATTATTTAGTTTGTTGAGGTTCTAAAAA